TTTTTTGGTTTTTCTCCGGTACCGGGAACCGAACTCGCGACCTTGCGCTTGCCAGACAGGCGCTTTTTGCCGCTGAGCTAAATCCCCAGCCCCCCCTTTTTTTTTTTTTTTGATACCGGGAATGGAACTCATGATCTCAGGCTTGCCAAGCAACTGCTTATACCGCTGAACTATATCCCCAGCTCCTGGTCATTCCTTCTTTTTTTTTTTAGACAGGGTCTCACTATGCAGTTCAGGCTGGCCCTGAGCTCACTTTGTAGCCCAGGCTGGTCTCAAACTCACAACGATCCTCCTGCCTCAGCCTCCTGAGTGCTGGGATTACAGGCGTGTGCAACCACGCCTGGCTTGTCTTTTTTGTTTTGTTTTGTTTTGCTTTGTGGTCACACCTTTTTGCTGCTCTTGCACTACTAAACATCCAATCCAGGGGCTTCTACCCTGAGCTACATCCTCAGCCCTTCTTATATTTTACTTAGAGGCAGAATCTTGCTAAATTGTTAAATTCAGGCTGAGCTTAAACTTGTGATCCTCCTGCCTCAGCTTCCTGAGTAGCTGAGATTACAGACATGTATCACTATTCTTGGCTATAATAATTTTTGGCGGGGGTGGTAGGTAAATACTGAGGCTTGAATCCAGGGCCTTTGTACTGAGCTACATGCCTGGCCCTTTCTGTCTTTTAAAAGAAGGTCTTGCTAAGTTGCTTAGATTGAGCTGGGACTTTTTCTCCTCCTGCCTCAACCTCCCAGGTGTGCACCACCGTACTTGGCTATAATCATTTTTCATTCACTTACTTCCAGCACCATTCATTCATTCACCCAGTATGTTTACCTCAGGGTCCAGAGACCGCATCGTGTTCCTGCCTCCCACGTGTTTGCATGTGGTGTAGACCCAGGAGGCCATGAGGTAATGACCAGTATACAGCAACTGGCCCCAACTGTCTTGACCCAAAGCCCACCCACCCCTGTTGCTTCCCAGAAGTGTGACCTTGGGTGAGTCAGGTCCCACCTGAGCCTCATTCTCCTCCTCTGTGAAACAGGGATGCTACCTGCACACACCAGGCCCCCACACTCCTCACCTTGCACTGTTCCACCCTCCTCTTCAGCTCCTCCTCCTCCTCCCTCAGCGTCTCCACCTTGTTGGCAGCTGCTGTGGTGTGGCTGTAGCTGCCTGGACCGCTGCCCAGGCCTTGACCGCTGCCGGAGTTCTTGGCGGCCTGGCTGAGCCTGGGGATGATCCCAAGGTGGGGTGGTCACCAGCCCCACTGCATGCCCAGAGCCAAGTGTCCCCTCCATACAGGGACCACACAGCGTTCTGGGATGTACAGATGAAAATCCCTTGGGTCTCTGCCAAGACTGAGCTGGAGTGCTCTGGGTCGCCCCCTGGCGATAGACTTGGTGATTACAGCCACTCAGCTGGGAGTGCAGGGTGGAGGCCCAGGGACCATCCTGGGATCCAGGCTTTCCTGTCAACTGCCGCACATGTGCACACCCTCACATGTACCTTCACCACGTGGGCTTCCATGGACCAGCTGTATCCCTGTACCCAGTGGGCCCTGCAGTGTCCCCCAGGGGAGGCAGGGGGCTCAGGCTCTCTGGGCTACCAGTGTCCTGCCCTGGGCTCCTTCCGGCTCCTACCTGCTCTTGAGGGTGTTCCAGTCAGACACCAGCTTCTGCAGGCTCTTCTTGTGCTTGAGAATGGCGGGCAGCTCCTCCTGAGGACAGACGAGAGGGTTCAGGGGCTTGGAGCAGGGAGCTAGAGGGTGGGAAGGCCGGGCTGGAGGGCAGGGTCACCTCACTCAGCCTGCTGAGCGGCTGCAGGACGTCCCGCTCCAGGGCCATCTCGAACTCAGCCAGGATTCGGGCCAGCTGGTTCTGGATGGCGCAGCTCATCTCCAAGGCCTTCCTGTGGACACAGGGGCTGGTGGGCCCAGGCCCCACGGCACTCACCCCGCCCCACGCCTACTCGGTGGGGCCTCCCCTCCCCGTCACTTCCTGCTCCTCTGGTCTCTGCCCAGCCCTGGCGTCCTCACTAACCTAACACTGTCCCCAGCCTGGTCCCCCTGCCCGCCTGGCTGCCCTTGCTGATGCAGGCCCCTCCCAGCCCTGACTGCTTCTTGACATCCTCAGGTGAGGGCTCAGCCCCGGCCATGCTCACCCTATGCTGGAGTCAGGGTCCAGCTCCTTGAAGCTCTCGGCCATCGTGGCAGACAGAGCCATGAGGGGAAGCTTTTTCTGCAGGCACAGCAGGCGGGTGGGGAGGAGGGGACCCAGGAGGCGGTAGTCATGGGTGCGAGTGGAAACCGACCAGAGGGCAGCTCAGCATGGAGGGGGTGGCACCCCCGCCGACCATGTCAGAGCCCCACCCATCTGGGTCCCCTTCCCCCTCTCTCAGAAGCCACCTGATTGGGCAGGAAGGGATGGCCAAGTCCCATCACAGACAAGGAAACTACCAACCACAGAGGGCAAGAGCCTTAAGGCCGAGGGTGAAAGGAAGGGGGAACCGACATTACGGCGGGACGCTTTCCCTCCCGGGGGATATGTGGCTGACCTGGCCAACAGTGGGCACTGAGCTCAAACCCTCCATGGCTCCCTGTTCCCACCCCCAGCTCTGCCTGGGCCTTATTGAATCCTTGATTGACTTCAAAACATGCCCTCCACACTCCGGCCTGGCTTATGGACAGCACTAGCCTTGAGATTACAGAGAGGAGAGGTCAAACCTCGCTTTTGTCACTTGCTAGGGGTGTGACCTTTGGTGAGTAACTTTAAGGCTCCATTTCCTCATTTGTGAAACAGCACCTCCTGCTAGGGCGGCAGCCAGCATTCGGTGAGACAATGTGTAGCCTATCTTAGCAAGAGACTGGCAGGCATGGGTCAGTAAATGGCGCTTGCTTATTAATACCACAGCGTCACTTAAAACCTAGCTCAAATGTTGCTCCCTTAGTAGCTGCCTGGTGGAGAGCCTGCTCTGCGAGCTGATAGCATGGCGATGCCCCGCGGCAGCCAGAGGCCTGGCCTCCTTCATAGGATGGTGCAGAGGGATGCAAGGTCAAGAAGGGGATTGGGAGCCCGGGGGCCTGAAGTGGTACCCGAGTGCCCTCGGTGCCCAAGGCTCACACTGGCAGGGAGACTCCAGCCCTGAACTCACCACCCGCTTGTCCATGTCAGCGCCACTCTGGCCCTGCAGACAGGCCTGCAGCCGCTTGTGGACATTATGGGCTGCCCGTTTGGCCGGCTCCAGCCGCTGCTCCACCTGGGAGGAGGAAGGCATGGGGGCAGTGGATCCTGGGGCGCAGTCCCCCCTCACGTCCCTGTTGCTCCCCCAGAGCAGGAACTGCCTTCTCCTCCCTCCTCCTGGGGACCCCATGGCCAAGTGTGGGGAATGAGTCAACCTCGGGGGAGGACAGCCAGCGTCCCCGCCTGCCCCGTCCCCTCCCCGGCCTGCACGGGCCTGCCTCCCACGCCCAGGCACGTACCTGCAGCAGCTCCTCACCCAGGAACTCGGCCATCTCCGGGTTGCTATGGGGAGGGGAGGTTGTGCTGAGCCAGCCTGGGCTAGGAAACCCCCTGCCTCCCCCTGTCCCCTGCAAGACACCTGGACCCCAGGGCTTTCCTAGCCCCTCCCAGGTGGGCCCGCCCTGGGTGGCCCGGCTTCATCCCAGTCGGAGCACATTCCACGGGCGGAATAGGATTCATGGCTTTTTCCTCCTCCACCCTGGGCTGTGTCCCGAGACAGGATGGGCCGCTGAAACCCAAGGGGCCCCTGCTCTGGGACACAGGGGCAAAGCCTGTCTTCTGCTCACTCCACAAAGTGCCAGCCTTGCCCGGAAAGAGGAGGCCTAGGCTGCCCCAAGAACGGGAAGTGTGGGAGCTGGGACTCCCAGCTGTCAGGCCCCCAGGACTCTGGAGGGCAGCTGTGGGCAAGGCCTGGACCCCTGCCCAGGGACACATGGGGATGCTGAGGCGGGGGCAAGGTGGTCTGGCCGCCGGTGCACACAGGCGCCTGTGCCGTTGTGACACTAGAACAAGTCTCAGGACAGCCGGTCCCCTCCCTGGGCCCAGAGAATGGGGAACTCGAGGCTGGGGAGGAGGAGCAGAGAAGACAGGCCCTCAGAGGCTCCCCAAACTTCCGGCCTCCCTGCACCAGCTCAGGGGCTAGGTGCGGGAACCGGGAGACCTGGGGACGGTTCCACCTGAGCCTGGGAAAAGCAGAAGCAAAACGGAGAAGCAGAAGGCCTGGGGCGGGAGGAGGGGCAGGGGAGGCCCCTCCTCCCCGGCAGGGACCCTGCCTGCTCCCCTCCCCCAAGGTCCGGGCCCTAGCCCGCCGTCCCCTCCCCCACGCAGCCGTCAGAGGTGGGCAATTGTCCCCATCATCCAGAGCGGACAAGTGAGGCTGGGCAGGACTGAGGACTCGGAAGCTCAGGGGGCAGAGAAGACCCAGAGTGCAGGGTCAGGGCATACTCTCCCCTCTGCAGGTCCCTGTCAGGGGCCGAGGGGCCCCTTCTCCCCAAGGTCACCCCTGCCTAGGGGACCTGGCGGCGTTCGGAGCGGGGAGGAAGAGAGGGCAGGACTCCGGCCGGACGGAAGGAGGCTGCCCAGCTGTCCTCCGCCGTGCCCTCCGGTCCCTCCAGCCGTCTACCCCCGGCTCTGGTCCTGCGGGGCAACAGCGGGGCTGCCAGGAAGGGGGCGACACTCACCGTCCCAAGCTGCCCGTCTGGGCCAGCTGCCGCATGCGGTGCAGCTGTCTCTTCATCATCTTGGGGCCGGGCTGGGGGCGGCGGGGTCGCGCAGGGGTCGAGGCCGGGAGCCCCCGGCCCAGCCGTGGCGGTGCGCTGGCGCCCCGGATGGGTGGGCGGCGCTCGGGCTTCCTGGGCCGCCGCGCCGCGCTCGCTCGGCCTCTCTCAGCCCCGCCTGCGACTCCGCCCCCGGCCCCCAGGTCACTCTTCGCTCCAAGTTTGTCGCCTCCTTCTCTCCCGGCTTCTGGGCCCCGCCGACCCCGACGCTGCCAGGTGGCCGCCCGCCTTCGCAGGTGTCGCGGCTCCTCCCCCGGCCCGCCCCGCCCCGCCCCGCCCGGGTGGCGGGAAGCAGGTAAGCCCGCCCCCGCCGTCCCCTGTCCCCCTAGCCGCAGGTCTGAGGACCGACAACCTTTGCACCCCTCCAAACGGGCAACAGAGCTTCGTCCTCAGGGCCCAGGAGGGACAGGGCGAGGACGGGTCTGTCCTAGCCCTTGGGGCACCGGGAGGCATGCTGGGCTCTACTCCCTCCCCAGAGGACCTGGGGACAGGTGGAGGCCAAGGCCATCTCTGCCCCGCCCTCCCCGAGGAGACCTTCGGCTTCTTGGGCGCTTGCCTTCAGTCTGGTCCCTGGAACTCTGCACTCCCTGTCGTTAGTGGCCTGAAGGGACAGCTGTCCTGGTCCTGCCCATCTGGCTAGGTGGACAAGATACCTCAGCCTACCCCCCAGCCTCCACCTCCGGGTTCCTGCTCCTGCCCCCCCTTTAAGGGGGTGCATGCCACCCCCCAGCCTCCAGGAACTCTCCTGGAGCTCCGGCCTCAGAGGGGTCTCTGCCATCTGTACAGCTGCCTCCTTGCTTGCCTCCTGGCAGTCTGCCTCTCCTTCCTGTGAAGCAATGGTGTGGGTGCTGCCCTCAACCTTAAACTCATTGTGTTTAGCCTCCACCCCAAACCAAGCTGGACACACAGTGGGTGCTTCCGAACTGCTGCTTAATGGAAGGACGACCAGAGAGGCTGGGGCGACGGTATAAACTCTCCTGTCCCTGCCGGCTGCACCCCTGAAAAAGCACAGGATCCTGGGGTGGGTGAGGGTGAGGGGCGTCGTCTGTACTTCCTTGTTAGTTTCACTTCCGTCGCTGACTCCTTGAGCACCTACTGTGTGAGGGTACAGACTGGGCACTTTCAAAGTCAGCACCCTGGCCTCACACAGTTCCATCCTCCCAGTGCCCAGTCCAGGTCCTGGTACCTAGAGGGCACTCACCGGAAGTTGGCTGTCGCTCCACTTCCTCAAGGCACAGCCGGGCAGGCCCCTCAGGGGCTGGCGAGAGGGAGGCAACCAGCAGCTGCTGCAGCCCGGCTAGAGCCTCCCAACTGTTGGGGAGCCCACCTGAGCAGAAGCCTGCCTGCAGGAAGTTGGGGGGCTGCCCAAGGGATCGAAGGCTCTAGCCAGGGTTACCTTTTCTCCAAACAGAGGGTGGCAACTGGCCAGGGATTCCAGGGACGGGGCAGGGCTTGGGAAACACTTTGATGGAGGGACACCCCCTAGAGCAGTGCAGACCTTCCTAAAGTGTGGCGCTCCGTTTGGAATGTGTGGGTTCTGGCCCTGGCCTTCTACCTTCCCCACTGGCTAGGGAACTTTGTTGGGGCCCGGTTTGTGTAGACACCTCCTGGGTGTGGCCTGAGAAAACTGAAGATCCCCAAGTCAGCAGCTTGACCCCAGGCACCACCCCTCCTGTCTCTTAGGGGGGTCGCTGAACCATGGTGCTGCTGCTCCGTGCCAGCCCAGTCTCCTGCCCGTGTCACACTGGGTTGGAGCACATCCAGTTGCTCAGCTGGCCTGAAAGTTTCTGAGGGCAAGATCTGGCTTATACCTCTGTCCCCGCTGGTCTGGTCCGGCTGTACCAGCAGAGAGCCTGAGTCCCGCTAACAGGTGGCTCACACTCCTGCCCTCCCTACTCCGCCCTGGTTGAGGCTCCCCTCCCGCTGGACCCAGGAGACTTATGGGACAGAGCTGGGTGGGGCTGTTGTACCTCTTGACTGCGTGACCCGTGTACCTTGGGGCCTCCCTTGTCACACTCGTATGTTGAATCACAGATGGCTGGAAGCCTGAAAGGTTGGATCATAGGCTTTGCTTGGTAGGATGTTGTAATGAAAGACTGACAGACCCAGGAGTTTCCATAGCGAACATTGGGACTGTGGCTCTTTAGAACTGCAAGTGTAGGGGGGAACCTTAGAGGTCACCACCGACCTGTCCCTCCCCTGACCGTGGGGCCTATTGACTTGGTGGATCTCCCAGGCCAGCTGTCTGCTGGGGACCGTGTGGCTCTTATCTGGCTCCTCTGGAACCCACTGCCCTAGTCATGGGAACTCAGTAGATGTGGATGGTCTGAGTGGCAAATGAGGATGCATGGCACTGGACACTTAATCTGCACGGACAGAGTGGGAGGGACAGCATGGATGGAGCTGGCCTGCCCAGCTGTGGCTGTCACTAGCTGAGTCATCTTAGGCCAGACATCCACCTCTCAGTCCTGGCATCCTCCCCAGGATAATGGACCTCCTGGGTTATTGGATTCAATGAATGAAGGCAAAGCTGGGCGTGGTGACACATGCCTGTACTCCCAGGCCTTGGAGGCTGAGGCAGGAGGATCATTGAGTTTGAAGCCAGCTTGGGCTACAGAGTGAATTGTGTGTGTGTGTGTGTGTGTGTGTGTGTGTGTGTGTGTGTCTTGAGACAGGGTCTTGCTATGCAGTTCAGGCTGGCCTTGAGCTCACTTTGTAGCCCAGGCTGGTCTCGAACTCACAACAATCCTCCTGCCTCAGCCTCCCCAGGGCTGGGATTGCAGGCATCCGCCACTGCGCCCGGCTAAGGTTAGTATCTTTGTCCCCACTTTACAGGCTCCTGGCCCAGCTGGCTAAGTGGTAGAGGCCAAGCCAGAAGGCAGATCTGATGGCCCTCAAGCCCATGGTTTCCCTTTCACTGTACAAGAAAACACTGCCTGGAACGCTATTAATGTCTGTCTTACTTAACCCATGGCCCCTGGGAGGGGCCCAGCAGTCTTGGCACAGATTTGTCTGTGAAAACTTCTTGTCACGCTCTGGGTAGTGGTTCTGCTAAGAGCCTGAGCAGGATGTGGGTAGGGCAGCCTGAGGTGGCGGCAGCAGTTAACACCCCATCTTAGGCAGGTTGACACACTGCTAGTTTGTGGTGGTCCTGGTGCTGCCTTCCCAGTGGTGGCTTCCATATGGAGCAGCTGGGGGCTGGTGTGCTTGCCCCAAGCCAACGGAACTTTCCAGAAGGTCTGGCTTGGGCTGAGGTATGAGGATTCAGTCATAGTCCTGGAGTCCCTGGAGCTGTGTGTGCCCTGGACCCCAGCCCGGGAGAGTACAGGCCAGATGGGCAGAGGGCTGGTGGTGGTGGGTGGTTGGGAGGCAAGATCAAGGTGCCACCACACTGGACACCACTTCCTGAGACTCCTGGTCCCCACTGTGCCTTGCATGAGTGACCTCCAACACTTCCCTCACACCCAGAGCCTCAGCTTTTTGTATTTTCACAGTGTGGTTCTGTGCATTTGTGGGGCGCTGCAGGGAGCAGATGCAGCTTCGGGCTGGCCCAGGACCCCCTTGTCTGCTTGCCGGGCAGGCCTGGCTGCGAGCTGCAGAGATCGGGAGGGCGCAGGTGGCCTCCCCAGGCCACAGACGCCTCTGCATCACTTCTGGCTTCCTTGACCACATGAGCATGGTGCACTGCAGTTAAATCAACTGCTGGCTCTGGCCAAACAAGTCAAGATGGACATGTGGCTTTGAGGTCTGGGAAGTCCCAACGCTCTCGGCATGGTGGCGGCAGTCACCTCTCAAGGGATGGAGACTGCAGCTCCCCAGGGCAGCCCTGCCTGACCTCTAACTCCAGATCTGTCTGAATCAACAGCTTTGAGGAAGATCAAGGCGTGCCTGGTACCGGGCTGTTCAGGAGCACTGGCTGACAGACAGATGGAGATGGTGAGGACAAGGGGGAGCCGGGACCCAGAGACCATCGCAGCCTGAGCCCTTCCGCGCAGGAACCTCAAAGAGCCTTACCCTGTGCCTTTCGGACAAGGAACTAAGTAAAGGCCAGAAAGGAAAGCACTTTGCTCGAACTCACACAGCACCGACTCCAAACTCAGCAGTCAATGAGGAGACACCCTAGGTGTCTCTCCAGGGAACAGGACGAGGCCAGTCAGTGCATCGTGTGGCTCAGCCAGCTTGGAGAAGCCCTCACCCTGCACTGTGGTGCGGCTGGCAGGGAGTCCCCCATCAGCTGGGGAGCGGGAGAGCCAGGCTGCTCTCCGGCAGGTGCCAACACTATCTATAGAAAGGGTCCAGAGCCAAGTGTAGACCAGGAAACACTGGATAGGGGGTGAAAATGGTTATTTAAATGCACGACTCTGCGGGGGCTTTGAGGAGCACATCTGTAACTGCCTAGAGGAGCCAGCGTGGGCAGCCTCCCCTGCTGAGCAGAATCCCTCCGCACAGCGCAGGCAGGGAAGTGTGGGCCTGGCTTTTCCTCTGGACCAGCTCGGTGGCTTTGCTCCAGGTCCCTCTGCTCAGACCCTGGCCTGGGGTGGCCTCAGCCACCACTCAGAGAAAACCCTGAGCCAGGAGCAGGGGTGCCCAGCTCAGGGTTCCTGGCTAGTCCTGACACAGGCTGCAACTGGAATCCTGGGAGTGGCCTCCAGGAAGCTGGGCCTGGGGCCCTCCAAGCGGGGCAGCGGTGGCACAGCCGTGTTCTGACGGCACAGGCAGCAGGGAAGTTCTGAGCAGCCCAGTGCCCCTCAGTGACTGCAGCAGCTGCGGCCCCTCACTTCCAGCTGGGACGCTTCAGGGCCCTCTGGTGACTCAGCAGCCGCCACAGCCCCTGCGCAGGGCCTCTTCTGTGCAGGGTGGGGGTGGGGATGCGGAGAGGCCTGACGCCAAAGATGGCAGCAGGGAGGTCTGCAGGGCGACCCCCTCATCAGGAGGGCCAGAGAGCAGCTATTCCAGGAAAAAAGATGTTTTATTTTCATAAATACTCCTGCTCTCATTCACACATTGACTCCACTTCTGACCACAGACAGACAGATGGACAGAGGTGAGGTGATGCCCACCGGAGGCCCCAGGAGGGCCGATGAGTGAAGAGGACACACTGGGAACCCCAGGAGCTCCGCAGCCCCTCGGAGGCCACCTGCCTCTGGCACCACCCTTGGGCTCCGCAGCCCCTTAGGAGGCTGACAGCAAAGGCAGGCCTCAGGAGCGGGGCCTATGTGGGGCTCCCCAACACGGCCCCAGACTGTGGCCGCAGGGCCACTCCAGAAGAGAGCCAAACCACATACCAGAGTGCAAAGAGCTGGGGGCACAGACGTCACCCCCACAGTACTGGGTTCCTATGAAGGAGGCCGGCTGGTCCCCAGCTCCAGCACAGCCTATGGCTGGGCCTTCCCATAAGGCATTAGACAGGTGGGGAAGACTCACCCCAGGCCAGGGGCAGGGCTGGGCCTGATGGCCATGTGTCCTCCCCTCAACCCCGAGTCCTTCCCAGTCCCACAGCCCCCTGCTTTAGGCTCCCAGCAGTGCAAACCCAGGCCCAGCTTCCTGCTGGGTTTGGCTCAGCAGGAGGGCAGCAGAGCTTGGGAGGGAGGAGTCACTTGGCTGCCCCAGCGGTGAGGGGAGAAGCACCAGGCCAACGGTACACGGCCATGGGGAGCAGTGTCCTAGACTCGCCCAGGCTGGACAGTGACCGCTCCCTCTGTGCCCCCCTCTCCCCAGCTCCTCTGTTCTAGAGGCTCCCCCAGGTTTCCGGTGGGGGGAACTGGTCCACATCCCCCATCTCGTTGTAGGTCTGGTCGCCCATGGTGAAGATGAGCTTGTAGCGGAGGCGAACTTTCTCCTGGGGCACAGAGGTGAGGCAGATGGTTAGTGAGGGAGGAGGAGGATCCCCCAAACACCGCCCTGTCACAGCCAGCCCCTCACCTTCTGGGGGTTGGCGAGGAGCAGGACCTGGGTGATGGCTGAGGGGTGGACGATGGGGTTGAATGCAGGCAGCTCTGTGCCTGATGGTGGCTGCAGCTTCACCTTCATGACCTGAGTACAGGAGGGCAGGAGGGGTACAGGAGGCTTAGATGCGCCCCTGCTGCTGAGGACCAGGGTCAGCCTGCCAGTGCCCCTCTGAGGGTCTTGGGGACTCTGCCTTCTGGATCCCCTGCTTCCTAGCAAGGGAGAAGGACCCCGCCCGCTGACCCATCCCATGCCCCGGCTCCCAAGCCCCAAGTCACCCTGCCTGGACTAGAAGGAAGCATGCCGTCCGCCCCGCAGTGTCACCTTGGGGACAGCTGACTGGAAAACGATGTTGCGGATGGGCTGCGGGGCAGTGCTCAGCATGGAGACCACCACCACCAGCACGTCCGAGCGCCCCGGCAGCGGGTCCCGGGCGAAGTGGAAGAGGACTCGGAAGCCGTGCTGGTCATACACAGTCACAGGCAGGATGCTGCCTGGGGTGGGAAAAGGTAGGAGGGCAGTGAGGGGGCCGACCGCCCCGCTCCCAGGGCCTTCATGGACTCCCGGTGCAGCGAAGAGTCGGATGGTGGAGGCGACACCCAGCCTGCCGCTGACGCACAGCCCAGGTTCACCCCCACATCGGGCTGGAGGATGGGTAAGGGCTTTGGTCACGTTCTCACTGTGTGACCTGTTACAGTCGTTTCCCTGCTCTGGGCTCAGGGTCCTCCTGCTAGTAAGACCGGGAAACCCAGGGTGTGACCCCCAAGTCACAGTGAGGTCACAGAGATGGATGATGCCAAGGACTGGCCAGTCCTGTCTGCTCAAGGCCTGTACCAGGTGGTAGGCCCCGCTACTGTGAGGCAGGAGATGCCCCGGGCCTGGGGCTGGGTCTTCATCACAGTTTGACTTCAGTCTCAGGGAGGCGAGGGGATGCGGGCCCGTCTGAGGAAGTCCTGTGGGGCCCTGTGTGACCCGCAGCTTTTAGAGCAGCTGTGTGCAGAGACGAGGCCGGGAAGGGGAGTGCTCCATAGTGGCAGGGCCCGAGGAGGCAGGGAACTGGCCCGCTGCACCCCACTCACTGGGTTTGATGGACTCCAGGGGCACAGTGACGTTGGTGAGGGACAGCTCGGTGGGCGTGGGCTGTTGCAGAGGCCCCGGAGGCTCTGGCGACCCAGCGTGGAGGAGGCTGGCAGGACCCGAGCTGGGTGAGCTGCAGGTGCTCTTGTTCTGCAGGTCTCGGAGTGTGAGCCGGGGGGCTGGCTGCTGTTTCTCCCTTATTGGGGGACAGTGCATTAAGAAGGGATGCTTCATGTGCTATGAGGTCAGGGCCCAGGAATGCTGCGCTCCCCGGCCCTGGTGTCACTGTCACTGCCCTCTGCCCAGGATGCTCCCTGGAGCTAGCTGTCCCACTGGTCTTTCTCTAGGGTGCTGGCATCCCGAGGGCGTGAGTGGGCACATAAGCTCTGTGCTCTGGGGACTACCCCTGGGCCTGCCGGGGTCACTCCTTGTTCCTGGGGCAAGGGATGAGCCTGTCCCTGTTAGGGGCTGCTGCTCCGTGAGGACAGGGACGGCACCCACCCTGCGCCACCCATGGCAGCCTCACCACCGCATTTGCTGGGCCTCGGGGGGCAACGACTGCTGCAGGAGGGTCTTCCCCAGGAGGTCCAGGTCGTCCAGGCCGCTGCTCGTGGGCAAGGGCGTCTGTGTTGCAGGCTGGCTGTCCGTGCTGGGGGCCTGGGCCAGACCAGGGACTGTGGGCTCAGCGCCATCCGAGGACTGGGGGCAGAGAGCAGGTACCCACAGGCAGGGCTCTCAGAAGAGAAGATAGAGCCCCTGGTTGTGCCCGCCCTCCCTGCAGGTGACACGGGAGCCCCATCTCAACCCCGAGGCTGGGTTATGGCCTCAAGGCCAAGCAGAGGAGGGAAGAAACTAGCTGCCTTCCTTCTCCCTGGGTGGGCGTCCTTGTCCCTTGGGCCTCCCCTGCCCCCATCCCTTCACCATCCCTGACCTGGGGACAAGGACAGGCTAGGCTGGTTCCCTCCTACCTGGAAACTGTTCCACCCGGCCCCATCCAAACTGGGGCCTGCAGAGGGCGTGGGGTCACCCAGGCCTGGGGGAGGCGGAAGAGACAGGACTGGAGTGAGGGCGATGAGGCGAGGGTGCTGTGTGCCGCCCCACACCCGCCTTCTGAGCAGCTCTGCTCAGAGGAGAAACCTGAGCCGTGACTGCTCCTCCTGCAGCCCACATGCACTTCCTCTGCCCTGCTCAGTGGCAGAACCAGGGCCCTCCGAGTGTCCCAAGCTGAGGAGGGGAAGTGCTCCCAATCTCAGGGCCCAGGCCAAAGGGTCTGCACTGTGCCCCTGATAACCGACCCACAGATCCCCTAAGTCTCCATGGGGCGGGCACTGCCAGCTGAGCCTCAGCGTCCCCGTGTGTATGATGACAGAGTAGACTGAGGCCCTCGGGCTGGTCTGCTGCCCACCCTGCCCGCTGCCCTGAACACCCCAAGCCGAGCGCACCCCAAATTAGACCTAGAGAAGATGAGCTATCCCGTTTCTAGCAAATGCTTGTGAGTGGGCAGGGAGGAAGTGTTCTCCCGCGGGCAGAGGTGACCGCTGACACTGTCGTGCCCCCAGGGGCTGGCCACACTCATGTGGGTCTCCCTCAGTCCACAAATAACCTTAGGAGGCGGCCGCAGGCAGGGCTGGGGATGCAGCGGAGGAGCACAGCCCTCAGTGCCACAGAACAAAAGCGAAGGCGGGGATGAGGAAAGGGAAGCGGAGGGGCTATGCGACCCGCCCCGAGGCCGCACAGCTGGAAAGCAGCCAAGTCCAGCTGTGGTTCCGCAGAGCCTTATTGCCGGAGTTGGGACAAGCTCTGCCACTCTGCTGAGGGACCCAGGGCTGACAGTCCACAACGGCAGCTATCTCGAGTGCACAGTAAGCGTGCAACCACCTAGACCCTTCACCAGCACCTGACGGCGGACAGGAGCCCCGCCGCCACTCTCCCTGCCACCGCAGGAGCGCAGGACCAGCACCCCCTGCGGCCGGAGGCTCTCCGCGGTCCCCGGGGCCACTGCAGTCTGTCTGGCCCTTTTGGTTCCTGTTCCTGTGCTTGGGGCCTTTGAGAAGAAACCAGAAGGAAGCTGGATGCTCGGGGCTGCGGCAGCAGCTAGGGGCAGGAAGTGCGAAGCACACCTTGCTTCTCCCGTGGGGGACGGCTCCACCACGACTGCCGTCGCTTCCCTGTCTGCCTCTGCCTGCCTGGCCCTGCCGGGAAGAACACGCTCTTGCCTTGCGTGGGCCTCCTGGCTCTGCACTGTGCTCTGCCTCTGGGAAGCGAGTAGGGGGCTCTCCCCCTTGCCACCCTGGCATGGAATGAGGCCAAGACCCGGGGGAGGCTCCAACACCAGCCTCTTCAGCAGGTGCAGGTCAGGGCCACTCACCCCATCTCGCCCTCCTTCTAAGGGCCAGCAGGTCAGAGCAGCAGAGGGGCTTGGTGGGCGGTGGCAGAATCGCAGCCCCTACACTTCCCTGCTGAGCCCCTGCTGCTGCTGGCCTCTGTCCCCTGGCGACATGGACAGCTCTGGCTGAGGTGGTGGGGGAGGACTGTCTGAGGCAAGGTGGGGCACAGCAATGGGCACTGTGTTGGGCAGACTGCTGGGCCCAGGACCCCTATCATCTCGGACACGCTAGGCAGCACCCTGCCACTGAGCCGCACCCCAGCTCCAGGTTCAGAGAGGCTCGGAGAATGCAGCGAGTCCGTGTCCACACCACCATGCCTTCAGAGGGCTTTAAGCAGGCCCTGCACCTGTCGGCTTAACCCAGCTCCATGAGAGGGCCTGCTGGACTTCTGAGGAAGTAGGGCTGGTCCCCTACTGAACTCAGGGCCTCTAGTCTGGCCTGGAGTAAGTTGGGTCCCGCCCTCAGCTGGTCTGGAGCTTCTGGGGCTTTTGAAGTGAAGCTCTACTCCTCTTCTCAGAGAAATCCTGGGATTCTGTCCCAAATCTAGGTCCAACCCACTGCGGAGAAGTCCCTCAACAACTGTCCCACGTCCAGAACCGGGTGTGGCTGGCTTGTAGCAGGTTGGTTGGGCTGGCCGGCTCACCCTGAGACTACACTGCTCTGGGCTTCCCCGGGCCTTGGCCTCTCAGCTGGGACGTGACCCAGTGTCCACCCCATGCTTCCACCCGATTCACGTCTGCGGTGCCTAACGCCGATGCTTAGCTGGCTGCAAGGGCAGCTGCCCCACCGAGCCCCTGCCCCACCTCCAGCCAGCCCTTCCTCACCCAGAGACATGAGCTCGTCGTCAAGCAAGGAAACTGAGGCGCTGGGCTGCTCAGGACTAGCTTGGCTACCAGGGTGGGTGGGCATGGCTGGGTAGGTGGTGCCGGCAGGAGGGAGGTCCAGGCCTGAGAGGTCCAGCAGGGCTGAGGTGCTTCCTGGGGTGGGAAAGGACAGTGGCTGAGTCCTGGGTGCCATGTGGCTCTCGGGGTGCTCCGGGTTTCAAGGCACCCTCTTGCCTCCCCACCAGCCTCCAGCCTCCCTGTCATGGCCACGCCAGCACAGCACTGGACCTGCCCGCGGGGCCCTTCCTACAGCACAGGGAGTGCCGCTGCTCAGAACGCAGTCACAGCCCACTTAATGACTGACAGGTTCTAAGAAACATGTCCCTAGCTCAACACCACTGCTAAGGGACCTTCTGGGACCACCGGCTGCTCTGTGGCTCCTCTCCGACCTCCACGTTGTCGTGCAGGACACAGCTGTATCCCCTGCTTGTCCCTCGTGCCAAATGCCACCATCCTTGGGAGCCTTGCACGTGTTTGCTGCCTCTGTGCAGTGCCCCGCCTCTCCTCCCCAGCAGGGCCACTTCCAGCCTCTTCTGGGATCCCTGGGCGCCACTGTGGCCTGCTTAGAGCCAAGACTGAGACTTTTGTGTCCCATGCTCCCTCCCTTCCTCTGATCACCAAATCATGCTTTGGGGGTGTTATCCAGCCCAGCACGGGTGCCAGGTTTGTCAAGTGAAGAAAAGCCTGCCTTCTTCGCTCATCCCCGACACCCCTCCAGCCAGACTTCCTCCTCCACAGCTGCAGGCCTGGCACAGGCTTCGGTGCAGCTCCCTCCCTGCGCCTTTCCCCATCTTAAGGGGCCAGGGTCACCCTGGCAGCCAAGTCACCAGCTCTGGGGCCAGAATGGCAGCCTGCAGCCTGCAGCACTCCCCCCAGCGCACCAGCCCCTCCTCACCAGGGATGGAGCCAGCTGCAGCCTCACCGTTGACCTCCTCACCCTGCACCAGCTGCTTGTAGAGGTTGATCACCTGGGTGAGGTTGTCGTTGGCCTGCAGGATCTCCGCTGCAATGGCAGGAGGGGAAATGACGTGTGGGGGCGTCTGGGTCAGGAGACAAGTGCCCCCTCCAGGCCTGCTTGGGTGAGGGGAGAGGCTGGAGCACCCCATCTCGTCCCAAGACCCAGGCCCTCGGTTCCCGTCTCCCTTGCTTCCTCGCTGCACTGCCTGGCTATCCTGGATATCCTGGCACACTGTCCCTTCCATGGCTCCGCGTAGCCCCCGCAGTCGGACATCCTTGAATTTCTGCGCACCTTCATCCCTTGCGCTCTCTGGCCTTCACCCAGAGCCGCCCCTTTGGTGTCTCCATCCACGTCAGGTCTTCCTTGACCCCCACCCTGCACTGCCTCATCCCTCCTGCTTACTTTTCTCCAAGCCACTCGCCACTGTCTGACAAACTGCCACTGTTCGGGGCTGGGGCTCATTGCCCATCGCCCAGCAGGGGCTGCAAGCTCCGCAAGGAGGCTTTGGTCACCTGAGATCATGGTCCCATCCCCAAGGCCCAGAAGAGCGCCTGCCACAAGACAGGTCCTCACACGCTGCCTCCTTGGGTGCCAGGGCAGTGAGCCCCTTGGGTGGGGGGCCTGGTGCCCAGGCCACGGAAGCAGATGCCCGGGGGCTCTGGCCGACAGCAGGCAGAGACAAGGAAAAGGACCTGTGGCCTAGGCAGAAGCTACCAGGCTCAGCTCTGGAAATGCTTGGGCTACGGGATCCATTCTGATTTCCAGCTATTTTCTTTTTTTGTGGTACTGACGATTGAACCCAAGGCCTTCACACTGAACTACATCCCCAACACTTTCTATTTTTTATGTTGAGATGGGGTTCTGCTACGTTGCCTGGCTGGGCTTGCACTTGTGATCCTCCTGCCTCAGCCTCCCAGAGTGCTGGGATTACAGACCTGTACCTTCAGGCTGGGCTTCCAGCTCAGTCTTGCCAGGGGGGCAGCAGCGGGAGGTAGACAGTCCTTGGTCCCCCCTGGCTCCCCTAACACTCTGCCAGTCACTTCCCTCTCTGCGCACAGCTGTGACAGGGGACAGTCCTCCTCTGCAGCTGGCGGGCAGTGAGTGAGATGCCTGCTAATGAGCTTATCTCAGAGGCCTGTCAGGGCAGTGCAGCCTCTATTCTGCTTCCTTCTTTCTAATGCAGAAAGCCCAGTCAGTGCTGGGTAAGGGGGCCTTTCTTTCTAATGCAGAAAGCCCAGTCAGTGCTGGGTAAGGGGGCC